GGGAGTCTTGAGGTGAGAACCTGGAGTAAAGAGGGGCCAGCCATCCGCTGACAGAGTAGGCAGAGGCCCAGAGCGGAAAGCGACTCACCCGCGGTCACACGGCTCTAGAGGGCGGAGCTGGGACGGGAACCCTGGTCTGTGTGCTGTCACCTGCCCCGGGAGGCTTGTGATGGGCTTCTGGTGACTCAACAACAGGTCCCTTAATCCAGGCCAGAAAATCCAGTGCGACCATGGATCCCAGCCAGCCTTGGGGTGTGGGGGCCCAGTGGGCCCTGGGGCAGCAAGAAGTGGGGGTTCATAGGGAAATTTCTGTGTTTTGAGCCTCTCTGAGGAGAGTGGCACTGTCTGCAGTGACATAGCTTTGCTCTGTAACCTTAGGGCCCTCCAGCCACCAACTCCTCTGCAGCTGGCACCTGGGAGATGGCAGCCTTGAAGACGGCCACTGCCTGGTCCACGGCGCTACTTAGAGGATAGGAGTCAAGAGGTAACACTGAGGTCACCAATGTGCACCTGTCCGTCTAGTCATCCATTCCACCCAACACCTATCTGTCCATTCAGCTAGCCACTCATCCATCCATCCACCCACCATCCATCCAGTCACTAATCCATTCACCCAACCCATCCATCCCTCTGATCACCCTCCATCCATCTGTCCACCCATCTGTCAGCCCTGTTTATCCATCCATGTGCTCGACCACTCACCTGCACACGTAACTGTGTTCTCATCCGTCTCCCCACCCTCCCTCTATTCAGCAGCTCATTCCCTCATCCTTTTGTCTGATCAGTGGGCAGCTCCTGGGTGCTCCTCTGTGCCAGGCCTGCACCAGCTTCTCTGGACCTCTGAGGTTGGCCATAGCTGGGGACAGGCAAGGTCACCTCTCATACCAGGGCCTCACAGGAGAAGCCAGAGAGTCTACAAGGGCTTCCTGAAGTGGTGGGTTTCAGCTGATTCCTGACAGATGGGAGAATTTCTAGCATTCCCATTAGCTGTGATTTGGAGGTTGGACCACATGGGGTGAGGGTCACCACAGGAAAACCTGTCAGGGACCTGTTGCTGTGTCCAGGTAGCAATGGCCTGGACAGGAGGGTGGCTGTGGGCGAGGAGTGGATGGGCGGCTTTGACACTTCCACGGGTGCAATACACCGGACCTGGCGGGGAAAGGGATCTGGGGGCTAGAGGATCAGGAGGAGGCGGGCTCGTGGCTGGGGTGACTGGGGAAGTGACCTGTGAGGGGGAAGGCGGTAGGGGAGGAGGGGGGAAGTTTGGAGAGGAGAAACGTCCTGGCCACGCGGTGCTGTGGGTGGCCAGGAGGGAGGGGCTGCCTGAGGACTGTGAGCGGGGCCCAGGGGCGGAGGAGCCCGGCACCCCGAGTGTGTCCCTCGGGGTAGGGAGTGCTCGGACTGGGGCATTAAGCCCCTTGCCTGCTGACGCATGCGCAGGGCCCGCTTCAGGGGCCAAAGCAAGCTTTCGGGCAGAAAGACTGGTGTTGGTGGTTGGAAACTGGGCCTGTGGGCTTGGCAGGGCTGAGGGTGGGGGCTGCCGAGCGTCTGCCGTCCGCATCCCCAGCACGTGCGAGGTGCCTCTCCTCAGGCCTCGCACGGGCCTCGCCGGCACAGAAAGCCTGCACCGTGTTGACCCCGAAGGTGTGCAGGCCGCCGGCGACCCAGCCGTCTGAGCACTGGGGATGTGGGGGAGAGGGCGTTTTTCTGGGAAAGGTGGGCAGGCACAGGAGATGCCCTCTTCTCCCAGGCAGCCAGAACAGACCTGTCGGTCCCCCAGCCCTCCACCTCCCCAGCCAGCCTCAGCCTCCTCGCCGGTCCCCGGTGCCGGCTCCTTCTCCCCTCCTGCTCCCTGCTCCCCCGCCCCTTCCTCCCCCAGCCCTGCAGCCCCGCCCTTGGAGCTGAGCTGTGGTGCAGCCTCTCACCTCCTGTGAGACTGAGCAAGGGAGCCCCTCTCAGAGCCTCCGTCTCCCCACCTGCCCGTGAAGGGCTGGATTTTACAAGCCCTTGGGCTGAGTCTGATGGGTAGTGCCTGGCTTGGGAAGGACTGAGGCCGTCGCAGGATGCAGTGAGATGGCGTTCTGCGAAGGATTGGTGATGTCCGCCGTGGGCTTGGGCTGGAGAGTGAGGTGGACCTAGGCCACGTGCCGGCTTTCCCTGAGACAAGTGATTTTTAAGGATTCTCCCAGCTGTAGGACTTGATCATGACGTGGTGAGTGCCTTTTGCCTGGACTTTCCAAGCAAGGCCTGAATGGCCACAGATCAGGGGTGCTGATCAGGGTCTTGCCTCTGATTTCTGAGTGCTGAGATTTATCACCACACAGGATTGGGGGACCTTGAAGGCTGAGTAATGTCATGCCCGCAGCCTGTCCTTGGGGCCTGAACAGGTCGGCGGTTGCTTTCTTTCCTAGCCCCTCCCAGCAGACTAGGAGCTCACTCCTGAAAGGCTGTGTGACCCTGGGCAAGTGACTCAATCTTTCGAGCTTCTGTTTCCTCATCTGGAAAATGGGAGTAATAGAATGTTGTTATTGGGATTAAGTGAGTTAATTGGCGCTCTCAGTCCCTGGCAGGTAGTGAGTGCCTGGTGAATACTGATTACTCTGCTCATACCTCTGAAGGGGCCCAGCCACCTACGGGGCTCTGCAGGAAGGGTCACCAGCCCCTCCTCTGTGCCCCTCCCTCGAGCCGTCTAGCCGGCGCTTTCTTGGCACCCGAGAGTGTGGGCCCAGGCCTGGGCCTGGTGTCCTCCCGGATGTTGCCGAAACCTGAGGCCCAGCGGCTCAGGGACTGGGCATGGGGCGTCCTGCTCCATCCGGAGGCACCTCCTGCTGACTTTCGGGCCCCACCCGCAGGTCACATGTTAGCTGCCTCTCTAAAAGCTCGCAGCCCAGGCCCTGCCGGTGCTCCGAGCTTATGCGGGAGACTCTGTGCACAGGCGCCGTGGCCGGCAGGGAAGCGGGCTCCAGGGACGCCGGGCTCTGACGGCTTTGCCACCTCTCAGGGCTCTCTGGTTCCAGCCTGCTGGGATTGCTACACCCTGCTCTTTGCTGCTGAAGTCGCCTTCTCTCGCTCAGGTAGTGTACCCCAGTACCCCTCCCCTCCCCCTCCAGCAGTGCCCGGGACCCCTGTAGGCCAAGCTGGGAGTCCGACACCGTGGTCTTAACTTGTCTTTACCATTTGTCTCATCCTGGCCCATGAGTTGCTTTGTGACCTGCCTCAGTTTTCCCATCTGTAGAATGGGGATCTGGCTCCCTTGCTTGCTAAGGCCTCTTCCAGCAAAACAAATCTAATTTCCTTTCTTATCTGATCCAACTATATGCCCCACCAGGCAGGAACCAAACAGGCCTGTACATCCCTGGGTGAGGATACTGTCCCACATTTCTTAAATCGGGTTCTTGAAAACCGCAGAGCTGTGTCACCTTCTTGCCCTGTGTGTGGAGGGTCCCTGACATTTGGCAAGTTTGTGGTGCTGGGGTTTCTACTCATGGGTCCTCTTCCCGGCCTTGCTCTGTGGTCTTGTGTTCACCAAGCGCCCTGACATCTCACACACGCACGTGTACACGCCTGTACAAGCAGCCATCAACTCTGTCTCTGCTCCTTGGCTTCCAGGTGACTTTGGACAAGTGACTTTGCTCTGAGTATCAGTTTCCAGCTCTGGGAAATGGGGGAGTGGAGTGAACGTGACCCTGTTGATCTTCTCTCTGGTTTTAGGAGGTCCGTCAATAGAAGAGGGGATTTCCAGGCCTGTGTGACACAGTCTGGGTGGGTCCCAGGAGCCCAGCCCAGGCAGAGATGCCAGTGGTCACTGTGATGCCCCCACCTGCCTGGGAGCTGGCAGGCTGGGCTCTCCTGGCCTTTGATTCTTGCAATTCTGTCCCTTGCAGGCCTCGAGCTGCTCAGAGCCCCACCTGGAGCAGCCATGACCCGCTGGACGTCCCTCAAGGCCTCCTGGCCACACAAACACAACCCCTGCCATCTGGTGGCTTCCTGCCGGCATCTGAGCGCCCCAGCCCTGGCCACCTTCCCCCGGAGGGCCCGGGAATCTAAGGCTGAGCTGTCTTCCTGGCACAGTCCCCAGGGTTCCCACTGCCGCCGGCTCCCTGCCTCCTGGCCGAGGCAGAAGCAGCATCCAGCATTTCGGCCTCGGGCCTCAGCTCCTCAGACCCAGGGTGAGGTGGTCAGCTGGAGCAGCGGTAGGGGTAGGCTGGCAGCGTGCGGAGAGGTCCCCGCAGAGCCAGGGGTCCCCACGGTGGGAGAACTTGAATTAGACAGAAGTGGCTCTGATTTCAGCTCTCCTGCTTAGTAAGCTGTGTGGCTTTGGGGAAGTCACTTCACCTCTCTGAACCTCCATTCGTAGAGTAGAAGTAGCCAGAGTCTGCGGACGCCCTCCGCCCTGGTGGGGGCCTGGCCTGCTCTCCTGCGTCTGGACAGGCTGGCTCCCTCAGGTGTGAGTGTCCCGTACCCACCAGACCTGGGGGTCCAGTAGCACCAGTAACTGAGCTGGGTCCTGGGAGGGGTCCGCAGCCTGGCTGATTGTGTGGGCTCCACCCTCACCTTCTCCCAGGGTCTGAAGCAGGGGCCACTCACAGGTAGTGCCCTGTCTGAGGCTCTGGTCCCACACGCCAGGGCTGAGTCCTGGCTGTCACTTCCCGTGTCCCTCCTCTCCTGGCCCGGCCACCTTGGGACGTTCCCTGCGGCTCAGCGTCTTCCAGGCCCTCAC